TTTCTGAGACTGCAATTCCCTTCTGAGACTGCAATGCACTGGCAGTACACCATGTCTGTGTGGTAAGGGCACCTATCCACCATGAGACCTGTCAGCTAAGCCTTTTCATAAGTGCCTATGGTTGGGCCTAAAAGATTACACAGAGATTTTTGGTCATGGTTTTGAGGCCTTGATTACCCCCATTTTTCATGTATGATATTGGTAATTTGTAATATCTCTCTTTTTTCTTGGTTAGATTGACTAGAGTTTTATCAATTTATTATTTTTTTCAAAGAACTAGTTTTATGTTTTGTTTTGGCCCATAGAATTCCTACTTTTCAATTCCATTGATTTTTTCCTGAATTTTTATTATTGCTTTTCCTCTTCTTACTTTGGATTTAATTTGCTCTTCTAGTTTTCTAATATTAAAACTTAAATTATTGACTTTTAGATCTTTCCCCTTTTCTATTACATGCATTAAATAATAGAAAATGGCCCTCTAAGCTCTTATTTCACTATATCTCACAAACATTAAAAATTATATATTCATTTTCATTTAATTTCAAATTATTTATATTTTTTCTTGAAACTTTTATATTGGCCAATGTGTTACTTACCAGTGTATTATTTAATCTCTAATATTTTGGGATTCCCACCTAGCTTTCTGTAACTGACTTCTTGTTGAAAGGTGGATATGCTATATTAGATAATAGGAACTGAGGTAAAAAAGACCTTTATTATAAATATCTTTTAATCCAGTAAGGGGTTGGTTTATGTTTAATGTTTGCCATGGCTAGTGTCCAGAGGCTTACAATTCCTCTAGTGTTCTGTTTTGTTCTCTCTTGTTGCCTTTGGGCTTCTCTAAGAAATCCTCCTCAGATAGAGTCTGTCTTTCAGATATTTCAGTTGTAATATACTGATATACTGGAGTCCTATTGGTGTGTTGGTAAGTTGTAGGGGAGGAAAAGCATTCTGTAATTTAATGATTAAATCTTAGTCATTTAATGAACCCATATCCTGATCTGTGAAATCCACAGGTGTTTTGTTTGTTTTTTTAGCTCACCATCTTCCCCTTAGTTGCAGCAGGAAAGATAGAGGAGAATCAGTAGAGGATTCTATTGATTGAGATAGAGGATATTTTCCATATCCTGTGGCACTCAGTGAGTATCCCAGCTTCCTCGACCCTCAATCCCCATTGCCCACTATTCTTAACTGAAGATGTTTGGGTGGAACCAGAAGTCCCTGTGCTCTTTTTTTTACGAAACATATAATGTGATTTTCCTTTCCAATCTTATATAGCCTGCAAGAGGTGAGGAGAGTGAGCACCTAGCCTTCTTCAGAATTATTGTATTTTCTGTGTATTTTCACAGCAGCTAAGAAGGAATTCATCTTAATTTTAGGTATTTTTCTCTTTTTAACATTTTCTAAATTTATAAAGTTTATGTAATATTTAAAAACACCTGTTAGCCAATTACACCCTCCCCCAAATTCTACCATTTATATACATAAAGAGAATCATTCTATATGCATTTGTGTTCACAGACATAATCAAGATAATGGAGGCAGGGGCAGAATTTATTTGCAGCCTACTACAGACTGGCATAGGCTAACTTTTGTATTTATAGTTATTAATTTAACTCTTACAACAGCCCTATAAGGTAGTCATTATTCCTAGAGTACACATGATAGATCAAAGGTTTGGAATGAAAATCACATCTCTAAATTCATGCAGCAAATAACTTTTAGAGTAAATGCTATACCAAGCTTATTTATCCTGGACCTAATAAAAATGTGAAACATATAGGGTTAATTTTTGCTTTATAATTTTGTCAAGAAATTGGCATATACCTGATCATTGATTATAGATGAGTCACCAGGGGAAAAGTGTTTGCTCTTCCTTTCTTAACCTTTTTGTACTCAATGTGCTTTTTACCACATTGTACATCGTATACATGTTACATCCTAATCAGCTCCTAAAATGTTTCCTGACCCCAATATTTATTCTCTTATTTGAAATGCATTAAGACAGAGTATAGACACAAGACTCTTAGCACAAAACTCTTGTGCTAAGACCGTAAATTCAGCTTTCTAAGAGCTCAACAAGTCAGCACCAAATATTCATGTAATTCTCCACAAGTATATTCATCCCCAGGAATACTGCATTCTGTACTTTGTGCAAAATCATCTGTTTCTTCTTGTGTTAGCTGCTAATCCCACAGCCTAGAAAACCATAATCCTACCTTCTCTAAATCCTGTCTTGGAAGAGAAACCTTGTCTAGAGAAAAAGAAGAAACTTAATACAGCTTAAGGTGAACCAGTAATCCTTAACTTTGTCTACATAAAATCTGCCCCAGCTGTAAGGCAGTGACAGGGTTCTAATGCAAAACACGTGTGTGCTTTATCATGACAAATCCAACATCCTGAGAAAACTAAGCATTTTTATTTTTTTTGTAATTTAGATGGTGATTTTTAAGATTCTTGAACAAAAAAAGAGTTGAAATAGCAATTAAATAGGGTTGATAAAACCTTTTTTATAGAAATATCATGTTACCAAAATACCTTGGAATCAGTTATATTCATCTGTTTATTCTATAGGAGATTTCACTCAGTAAGAAATGACCTTATCATCCCAGTAGGAAGTAATCTCCTTATCTCAAATTAAGAACTTAATTAGCAATCTTACCTTTAGGAGTGTGAAACCTTTATATTCATTCTTTTCTAGTGTATTTTGGAGAATCAAGGGTTCCTGAGTTGTCAGATATACAGGAAAGGTCAGGAGCTCTCCATGATTTTCTTCATGGGGAATCCTGACTTTACATAATCAGTCAACCTGAAGGTTAAACTTAAGATTTCACAGCTTTTGTGAAGTTCTTTGGAATAAAAATAGTTTGATCACAATTATACTAATCTTGTACTTTTCTAAGTATTAAAACCAAAAGCAAAAATACCTAGACCAATCTAAATTTGCTTTCCAAATGGTTAGCTCACTTTTTTCTGAGAAATTAATTCTCTAAGATGCTATGCAACAGCTCAGTGAAAAATTTATCAGATAAAGATTTATTTTCAGTACTTGAGATATTGAGTAAAAGTCAGTTGATGTGGTTAAACTTTCTGTTTCTTTATTTCGTTATTTGTTTGTAGGCTTTAGTTTCTAATTGTTGGGAAATGCAATTTTTAATATGTTTATAACTTATTGGCTCTTTCTCTTCCATATACACATTTGCTTTCCTAACTAAATATCAAAGTATTTTTGGATATTTGTGAAATAATTTCTTCAAGGTAGAGGGCACTAAAAGTGGGGAGGATAATTGCAGTCCATTTTTCCAATAGCTCAGTGTTTCAGTAACCTGTTTAAAAGTAACCAATGCCAAAGCTTAATAAAAATTTTTTGATAGTGCTTGATAATACTAAAAAAATATGCTAGACTGTCCTTCAATTAGCTAACATACTTCTGTGTTTTAGAGATATCCATATATACCTGCTACTAGTAAAAATGTATGATATTAAAAGAATGCAATTCATAGTTTAAAATAAATTTGACTGTTAAAGTTATTCAGATATGGTGAGGACAAAATAAATAAAATTTTAATTTGCAAGTCTTAATGCAGTTAGTGTTGTAGATTGGTGAGGAGGTAATTTTTAATCAGGGAGAACTGAAAAAAGACAAATATAAAGCTTCTTATTTCTTAAAGAACAATATTCCTCTGGTACTTTGGCAAAGCTAGAATAATATTGCATGTTGTCAGATAAGTGTGCATATATCTATGTTTTCATATATATATATATATATATATATATGTATTCTTTAGTTAACTAGGGTAAGAGTTAATTTTTAGATAACCAAATCATTACAAAGCAATACTATAGTAATCATAAGAAGATATATAAAGGAATTATTCTATTTTGTGTCCATTATTTAGAGGTATATTCTATTGGTCTTCAGATCATATATTCTCAATATAAATTAACTTAAAATTTAGCTAATATGGAAGTTAAATGAAAGCTTGGAAGAAGAGATTGGGTTGTGACTTCATGCCAAAATGAAAAGGCATTGACACCTTGTTATTCATAATTGCCGTTATTAAATACACGTAACATTTGACATGTGTATATTTAACTCATAATAAAAGAATTTATAGATAAGGAAATGAAGGTGAAAAGAAGATAAGAGGTGATAGAGGATTATTTTGAACAAGATCTACATGCTGCCAAGGCCAACACTGCCATCCACATCCTGCTGTGTCTTACAGGACATTATATATATATATATGAAAACTAAAAATGATCCATATATAAACCTGATTTTTTTTTTAATTTGAGGGCCAGAAAGATTGGATCTCTGCCTTTATAACTTTGCTCTGACTGTTCTCACATAAAATAATACTTGTGAAAAATATGGGAATCTCTTCCCTCTTATAATTTCAGAATTTAAAAAATTGAGTTTGAGTCCTTTTTTCCAAGAATAAATTGTATATCTAGTGTTACTATAATCATTCACTGGAAAAAACATCATAATTCTAAAATCTCCTGGTTTTCTGATTTGCAAATTTTGAAATATTTAAATGATTGTAAAAATTACCCATAGAAACTTGTAGCAAAATATTTCCCTACATTTCTCG